TATATATATATATATATATATATATATATATATACGTCAGTTTGTGTATGTATGCATTACTAAATATTGCATTAAATACATATGTTATTTTATATATGTTTATATGCTTACCATCTTTTATTTTCTAAACGTTTTTTTCTCTTTTTGCAATTTAATTATTTTATCTAGTAAAAAATGTTACATAAAATACTATACATTATACAAATTTCATTATGCATGTTAAATAATTGAAGTGAATTTGATAACATTTTAAGAAATTTACTGACATATTTATCGAATATTGATTTATAATAATTTTATAGTACATAGCTGATATGAAAGTCTAAATGAAGTTAAAGTTGTGTGACCATGATATTTGCATTTTCGTGTTAAATTCACTAGCATAAGCAAGAATTTTTTCAGTTCGAATGAATAAATAGATTGGTTAGAGACTATTATACAAAAATAATGAATGAATCATTATGTATTATGCTATTTAATATTAGAATTTTAAATATTTATTCATTAATATTAAAATAATTTATCTAATTTAATTACGAAAAAAGTAACTATTGAATTAGGAAAGTAGAATTTATATATATAGTAGTTTATTGACAATTTTTCTTATTCAAAGTTTCGCCTAAATTTATTTAAGGAAATACAGTATAATATTTAATATTAGAAAAGTAATTTTAATATTGATGATACTTTTTAAATTGGTACATTTTGTAAAAATTTGGTTATTGATTTTTTAAATTCATATATAAATGGTTTATAGCGCATATAGGTTTGGCGTATCAAATCTTCAACTAATTAAAATTATGCATACTTAACCAACTGCTGAGCTTGAACTAAACTGCTGAGATTGATAGATTGCAATTATTTTTTCAGTGAAACCAAACATTTTATATATTTTATATATTTATATTTAATATATATTTTTATTTTTATCTCGGAAACTGTTTAGTTACAATGAAAAATGCTATCTTCTCTATTTTAATTGTACAACATAAGTTGTTTGTTAGTGTTTTTATACTTGCGGACGCGAGAATGAAAGAAACATATGTGACTGCTTTAAATAAATGATAAAAAATCTAATATTCTCAAAATATTACATTTTAGTATTTAAATAATATGTCTTATTTTAAATATTGATGTTAGTGATTATTAGATTAATAATTTATCTACAATCGTTTTTATATTTTAATATGCTATAATAATTACTATAAATTTCTATAAAATTGAAATGTTCTACAATGGTTTCACTAACTTCTTATCTGGCTTAAATTTATGTACTAATTTAATCATTAACAAGCACTATGAATGAGCTGCATAATATTTATAATTATACTTATTTTTATCAAAATAAATAAAATATTTGAATTGTAATAAATATTTTTTATAACAATTGAGATAACAAATTTAAATAAATCAATGTCAAAAACTAAATTATTATTTCTATTATTATATTAATATATGCAGCTGTAATGTATTGAATAGTGGATAAAAAATGTTATAGTACCATATTGCCTCTTCAGTACATTGTTACAAACTAAAATTATTGCAAATACAGATAGTTCATCGTAATGTCCTGATTTTAGTATACATTTGATTGTACTGTGGCGAGTAATTTATATCGAAAAATAACAAATTCCATAAACAAATGTAACTACTGCTTTAAGATTTTATTATTCGAAAATGATTTTATTTTAAAAAATAAGGAGAACGGAAAATAAAAGTGTTTGTATATACATCTAAGAATTAAAAATATATTACATGAACTGGATTGTAAATATTGATCTGAAAAAAACAATCAATTTAAATATCATTTTAGTTTAGTTTTGAATATCATATATAGAAACTGTTGATTTATAAATATAGATATAGTATGTTTCAATTATTTTTCACTTATATTTCATAAACCTTTTTATTCGGTTTACAATTTGTCATATTATTATTTATTATAAGTTAAATTAATGCATCAATAACTTTTTGCTTTTTCGTCTTGAGTAATGAAAAATTAATATTTTGAAAATTTATTAATATAATCAAATAGAATACAATTATAATAAAAAATGTTTATATAATAATTAAAATATCTTAAATTTTTCTTTTTATAACTTTGTTCGATCCCTACATTTTATTCATTAAAGAAATAAATTCTTTCAAAAGAATGGACTTTCAAAATATTTAGCTTTTCAATTGATAGACAATATGAATAAGTTTTAAGTAAGTTATCTTAATTAAATATGGAAAAACAGTAAAAGGTTTAGTATATTTAACTATCAATGTAGATAATAGTTGTTGAAAATTGTTATAGATTTAAATAATTGAAATAGTATAATTATTCTTCATTATTTATAAATAGCAATTAAATATAAAATTGAACATATCTTTAAAATATTTGTGATAAGTTAAAAAATTGAAAATTAAAATTTAATATAAATTTAACTTGAAAGCTACGAAATTAAGATTTTAATCACAGTTACATAGTATATTTATAAGTATAATATACCTTTATAAGTTTTCTTTTATAACATTTGAAAAATAGCTTAAATAACTATTTATAGTTATCTAATATTCATTACTACAACTTTTCATCAATTTTTATGAATCTACAAATTGTATTTCAATCTATTGTTTTATAAGTAAATTATATTAAATACAAATTATATAACTGGTATAAATATTAAAAATGTTTAAAAAATAATTTTAATTTCTGATTATTTTTCAAATATATTAAATGTAATATTAGCAAGAAATGAATAAAACGCAATTGAAATACTGTAAATTTGAGAAATCTTTATTTAGTAAAATTCGGTAGAAACTAATATTTTCATATACACCATTTAATCTTGGAAATTGCCTTGCACTTTATAATAATTTTAATTATACACTTAATCAAAATTAATTTCGTCCTTGGTAACAGATTTTATATTATTTATATTCTACATTTGCATATACATGTACTTATTTCTTAACTTTATTTTAAATAAATAAATGAAGAAATAGAGGACTTATAGTTTTATTGAAGCATATATATATTTATATAATCTTTATACTTATATCTTTTTTATTAGCAAAAAATTAACGAAATGTATCGGCAGTAAATATAGTTATTATTTTTCTTATAAAGATTCTTCCTTCTTGATCAGTTCGGCAATTCCTTTACCCATTTCTAGAATTGCTTCATGTTCAGTCAAACCCATTCGCCGCTTGTTGCTGACATCATAGACGCCGCCTTCACTTTCACTATGTTCGCCTCGAGTTCCACGCACCTACGTTATTTTTAAAATATAGATGTTCTATTAATGCAAGTTCTAGAGTGTATCAAATATATATTTGATATTTAAAACTTACTAAATTAAACTAAATTATATTAAATATAATAAATAATATAATAATATAATAATATAATAATATAATAAATAATATAATAATATAATAAATAATATAATAATATAATAATATAATAAATAATAATAATATAATATAATATAATAATATAATAATATAATAATATAATAATATAATTAAATATAATAAATAATTATTTAAATATAATGAATATATTTATTTAGAAATATGTAAATTATTATGTTAAGCAATACAAATAATTAATTCTCCAATTTCATAAATATATCATGAAAAAGTTTTTAAAATCATGATTTTTTAAGTAAATATATTTACGTTTATTTATATTTTTCACATGAAAATCATGAGCATCAATAAAAATATAATGGATAATTCAAATTAAAAAGCTTACATACTTTTACTTCAAATTAAAAAAAATAAAAATTTATTATTAATCATTTAATTTTTAAAAAGCTTTTTCCTTTAATTATCTCCTTAAATATTTTATTATCTCCTTTTGCATTAAATATAAGCTGTGTAAACTTTTATTAAACGTATTTTCATGTTATTAGATTATTCATGTTATTAGTTTTAAATTATTAGTTTTTGTCTTGGGAAGAATCAATATAATTATTTTAAAACCAGTATTTTCAATCAGACTGCTAAAATGAGTATTTCTCAATTTTTTGAAGGTGCTAGAAACGATTAATATCTCTTACCTGAAGATTATAAGTACCAGCAATTTTTTCGAACTCAGGTAAATCAACGGCGAGCTTCGGCAGTTTGATATGCACTGAGGCACGAATAGTTGTGCCGAGATTAGTCGGGCAGAAGGTTAAATATCCGAGACGCTTGTCGTGCGAAAATTTCACCTGGCGTTCCATCTTACAAATAGCATTAATCAATCGAGTATAAACTGCAGTAAGATCACCACCCATTTGCATCGATATTAAACGCAAATGATCTTCTTCATTACACCATGCTAATAGAGTTTTCTTATCATTATAGAAGATACCACGTCCTAAAATAAAGTAATAATTTTGATAAAAAAAAATTGCTCTTGAATGCATTTCAATTAATCACTTTATCTTAGATCAAATTTATTATAAAAATTATTTAAATTTAATTTTATTTTAATTTAATACCATTAGCAATGATTCATATTTAGTATAGTCAATAGCAAAATAATAAATATTAAGTTGTATATATCAATAACTATTAATTATTAATAATAAGTATTATTATAATGATATTAAAGATTAAAAAATATATATTAAAATATATATCTAATACAATTAGCTGGAAATATAAATAATTATAAAAGAAATTAAATTTAAATACTCTTTCTCTAAATTAATGTTTCATACTCAAAGATAAAATCTCTTTCGACTAAAATTTTACAAAACTTAGAGCATTTATAAACTTCAAAAAGAGCTAAAACTTAATTATTAATTACCTTAATACACTTAATTACATTCTTGAAATTTCATTTATCCTAACTTACTATTTTCACTACTTGCATTTGTACATATGAAAAATGTTGTTGTTGACTTAGAATTGGCAACGTTTAAATATAAATTATTATATCTTAAGATTATTTTTAATTTTATTACAAAAATAATAAATAAAATAGAATTAAATTTTTAAATAACAAACATATTTTATTGTATTTATTGTCTGTTTTATTTTGATATATTCATTATATATATATATATATATATATATATATATATATATATATATATTATATATACTGAAAAAGACATTGCGCTATTTTTCATGAAATTATTTAATTAAGATGTTTGATTATTTTTTAAATGAATCAAAGATAAAGTTAAAAAAACAAACCTTATCAAATAGATCAATGTGAAATATAAAATATTTATTTTATCGTATATTGTACAAGACATCAATTAATAAAAAAATTAAAATAGACATAAAAATTAAAAATGTATTAAAACCGTTTAATTAATCACATTACAAAAATGGATATCTTAATTATCATAAAATTCCACATATAATATAATAATGTTATTAAATTTTATTAATAAATAAAATTAAAATTTGACTTAAGATAGTGGAAAATACAATTTGAGTTTTATTTAACAATTAATTACAAATTATTAAAAAGCTCTAAAGTAAATAGATATAGAAGAAATTAAAATTAAGGTATAATAATTAATTTTATATATGAACCTGACGAAGATAAAAGATTTGTGGTTCGACACTCACCGTTCGGCCAGAATTCACAAGCATGAGCATCTTGTAAAAAGCGGTCACCTTCCTTGAAAAGAAAGTGTTCATCGATCAGACGCTGTTTGGTTTCCTTGTCCATATCCTTCAGAGGGTAGTATTTACCTTTGAGTTCACCATCCAAACTCTCCAACGCCCGCGAAAGCTACCAAATATGCAGTTTATATGTAAGGAAGTGTAATAATATGTGTCGTCTTTATTAAAAATTTTTATAATATAAATAGTTCATCCATCTTAAGAAAGAAAGAGAAAACTAAGATAGAACTATTTGTAAATAAGTAAGGATTATGAAAAAATTTCCTGGATATTTTACCTTTAATTTTACAAGGTATTTTTAATTATAGATTTCGAATCGAATTAGTTTAAATAGAAATAGATGACAATTTCTTAATCAGGTCGAACTTAATGGTTAGAGGTAATTCAAAGTCATATCAATTTGAATAAAATCTCAAATGAAATTTAAAATAATATTATTTATACTTAAGAAAAACATGCAAATTAAAGTGGGTGTTTTAATCTTTGCAATACAAATTTATAAAATCCCTCATTAAACAATATTTATGAATTTAAACTAGAAATTGTAATATTTAAAATTATTTATAACCATAAACATAAGGTTAATATAATGTCATCGTTATTTAAAATAGCTAATCATTCATTCTTATTAAATTTAAAAAGTAATATATTTAAATAATAAAACCTATTTAATTATTAAATATTTTTGATTACTGTAAAATATTTTCAATTATTAAATAAATATTCTTATAATCGAAATAGTATAATGTTGTAAAGGCCATTGAAAATAATTAAACTGATTATTAATTAATGTATTTTGTTGTTAAGAAAATATTAATCATGAATTAATTATATAGATTTTTTCTATATAAATATTTTATTATTTATTATTAATTATCAGTAACAATCTATTTTAAAATCTAACAAAATGAAATGAATAATAAAAGAATCATATAAAAGATTAAAATTTATTTTCTGCATATTTATATAAATCTTATATGTATTTTGAATATATTTTGTTTAATTTCTTATTTGCAAATACATTAATTCTTTTAAATTAAATAAAATTTTTTATGAAACTACCATTACAAATTTTATATCAGCCAAAAAGCACCATAAACTATTACAACTCTATAATCTTCAAGTAATTATAAAGACACATTTAAAGCATGTAATATTTATTAATAGATATATCTATAATTTGCTTTATTATATTTTCTATTTTAGATAAAATATTTTTAATACAAGATTTCATATTACTTATAAAAAATTAATATGAATTGAGAATAAAGTAGATAGTGGATTTCAAATTATCTAAATAAAAGTAGATTAGGAAGATTTTAGAATTATTTTAATAAAAATAGTAGTGTATTTAAATAAAAATAAAAATTATTTAAATAGCAATTATGAATACAATAAGTTAACTTTTACTATTTTTTTTGGTATTTATAATCAAATTTATTTCATAAATATATTAATATAAATAAAAAATTTGCAAGTTTCACATAAATATTATTATAAATACAATTTTTTTTTCAATATAATCGTAAATTCTTTTGAATATTTTAACATCTTATTTTTTCTATTGTAATAAAAAATATTAAATTTCAAATCTTCATATTAATTTTATTTAACAATTTCTAATAACAAAAGAAATTTTGTTTAACAACTCTAATGTTACATATATGTTTTTGAAAAATGGGAAAGGAAATCGTTATACGTTTTGACTGGGTAAATAAGACTATTGATTTATTATTTATTTAATACATTATAACTTAATATAATAATAATTAAAACATTAGTATCAAATATTTATATTGTTTAAATACTTTTAAAAAGAAAACATTTATATTTTTATTAAATTATTATTAAATTAGTTATTTAATTATAATATCAATATATGCGTGAGCTTATGTGTGGATGCGTCGAAAATTCAATATTACCTTATCCTGTATTTCAAAATAATGTTCATTGGTCATCGTTGGATTAAAAGGATAATTTTCTAAAGATCTTGCACATCGAATCCTCGTTGAAATAATATACTTGTTTTCGGGATCTAGTTTAGGCATGACTGAAGGATCACCCCAATTCGCAGGAGGATGGATATCCATAGGTTTAAATCCTTCGTGATATTCTTCAATAATCGGATCGAAGAGCGCAGCAAAAATAGTGTAAGCCTCGGGATCGCAGGCGTAGACACCAATATTAGAATCAGGGTTTTTCATACCTGACTGAATAACATCCAAGAGAGATGAACCAAAACGCGTTTTTCGTGTCTACAGAAATAAAAAAAGATCGTCTTTATTTTATTTTACAATTTTTCTCTACATTCTGATTATGATCATTTGGGTAAAGGTAAAGAATGAATCATTTTTTAAGAAGAGTAAAAAGACTTACAAGATATTTTATTTCAATAAAACGAATGTAAAGTTTAATCTGTAGTATTACAATATTACTATTTACTTTTAACAAAAACACAGAAATGACTGTCGTTTTATTAAGAAGAAAAAGAATAAGATTTTAAATATATATTATTGTTGTATAAAAAGCATTTTTATCAAAGATATATTATTATCGAAATTTTATAGAAACATATTTTCTCATACGAAATAAAATATTTCTGAATTATAGATTAAGAATTTATTATTTTATACAATCAAATCATTAATATATCATAATTTTATTTTCGCTAATATTCTTCTATTTATGAGTGAAACGAATTTTATTTCTATTGAAGGACATTCAGATTACTACTCTCTTAGAAAAATTATACGCGTACTTACCTTTAGCTTATCAAAAACATCACGAGTTAAGTACTTTCTCAGTAAAGAATTACTTGGTTTTTCTAAATATTTGGTGAATTCGGATTCTAGTAATTGAACAACAGATGCAGCCGCCTGACCACCTTTCTTTTTGCAACTGCATTTGCTTTTATCACACATCTTGCTTTTTAAAAAAGTTTATATTATTAATATGTTATATTACTAAACCTATATTAACGTCTCGGATTCTATGATTTCTCAATTTACGAAGATCAAAAATTTCTGTCACTAACAATTTCTGTATTAGGTTATAACAAAAAAAAACAGTTTAATTTTCTTACAATTTTTTTAATTGATTTTGTTTTCTTAACATTTTTACGTTTACATGTAATATACGCAAACATATGCATATGTTTTTATATGAATTTAAACTCTTAAAAATATGTATTATGTAATATAGTTTATTAAATAGCTTATATTAAAAGAAAATTTGTAGAAGAACTATAAACTAAATTGGAGTTTCATTAAAAAAATTAATTAAAGCTATTTAATTATGTATGATTACATTGGATTTGTTTTATTATATTTCTCATTATGATCATTTTTCTTAAATAAAATATTTTATTTTGTAATAAGTTTATTAAGCTTAATAATTAAATTAAAATAAAAATCAACTAACCGCTACATTTGATTTAAATATCTGTATTTAAAATTTATGTATACAAATATTAATATTATATAGATTGCTAGAAAAATTACGTATTTCCTTTTTTCTGCATCACATAAAGTTAAAAAAAATTTCCTTTACAATATAAAAACTGTATATATATATACATTAATATTTCAGTTTAATTTTAATTCTCATTATTTACAATTAATTTGATTCATATTTTTTATAGAAGAAAATTGAATTTTAGTAATTAACATTGATTATTATATTGATTGATATATTAAATATAATAGAAATGAAAGAATTCACTTTTAGTTGTTTTGTATTATATTATTTTATAATTGTATTATTATTGGATCAGAATAATAAAACAATTTAAACGTGTATTTGATTAATTAGTAATATTCATCTAGTTAATTTATAAATATCTTATAGTCACTTAAATAAATTTTTAATTAAAAAAAATTATAATATAATACTATAATTGATTATATCAATTAAAGTAAAAAAATTATTTTTATATTTCTTAATAGATATTTAATGATGTTTCTAGATCAGTACTAAAAAACTATCTCCAGAATTTCTATAAGCTTCTTTCGATTAAGTGAACTTAATGTGAAGAAGCTATAACATCTTCATTTTCATATCATTGAAAAGTCAACATTCGAAAAATTCAATAAATTAGATTGGTCAAAAAGATTTACTATGACATTAAAGCTTGCATAATTGAAAAAATTCATGCTTTCAGGCATCAATACTTTTGCTAAGAGAGAGGTTTATTACAGCATATAAACCATTTGTAGAGAATGCATTGTTACCCTATAATTCATCAACATGTCTTCTCTGACTCATTTTCAATAATCTATACCTACATAAAATTGTATTCTTAATGATTATAATTTTTTTTCATTTTTCTCTCATTTATATTTATTAATTACATCTTTTTTCATATTTTTAAATAAAAATAAATTAACGATAAATTATTAAAATAATTCATAAAATTTGTTTATTCTAAGAATAAAATTTATATATGATTTTTATAATTTTGTTTATTTAATAAAATAAATTATATAATCAATGTGAATTATTAGAAAGAATATAATCTGTTAATTAATCAAATATTTTCCAATTTCCTAAAACTTCAATTATTAGAATTTTAATTTAATGTTTTATATTATATTAACGTTAAAAAATAAGTAGACAAACATTTAAATGACTGTAAAATATAGCTTAACACTTTCAATCTGCAAGGAATAATTTATTATATGTATTGTATATTATTGAAATAAACGTAATAGCTTCTAGTATCCAAATATATATTAAAAATGAAAATAACGGATTTATTAAATTACTGAAATTATAAATTCTAATGATATTTATTGAATATTTAAATGTTGTTTAATATAAAATTTGAATTCTAAATTAGCATACATTCTAAATTAATGGAAAGCTATTGAAAACTTTTTGCATAAAATATTAAAAATATAGTAATAGTAATAGGTTTGATTTTTTTAACGTAACTTAGAGTTATTTAATATTCAAAAATTATCTAATAAGTAATATTAATTACTAACAAATTAAAGGTAACTATATTTATTGTTTCAATAATGATTAATAGATTAAATTATAAAAAGATTATTGAATTATCAGAGTAACAAATAATTGATGAATAATAGTTTTCTTATTGAAATAAAAAAAAATTTATAGAAAATGTTTCTTAATATCAAATAAAAAGAGTATCATTTCTACAAATGAAGTGGGTCGCATCAATACTTAAACCAGCATTACAAGGTTTAAAATTTTATAGAAAAATTTGAGCTTCTTACGTACAAAAGTAACAAAATGTTAAACGACCCATTATTTTGTGCGCTCAACAAGCATTTATTAGTAATTTTATTAAACGATAAGAATTCTAAATACTATTATGTTTATTTTATAAAATAATCTTTTATTAAAAATTCTATGAATATTATTATAGTTTAATACAATTTTATTTTAATTACTCAAAATTCTTTTCGCGTAAAATAAATATTTCTGCATATATGTATTCTTGCAATAAATAGTATAAAAGTATATTGTTGATACTAAAGAATAATTAAAAATGAACTTCAGTTATTTTTGATTAATTTATAATTAAATTATATTTATATTATTAATATTATAAAATAATATATATTGTGTCTTATCCACACTAATATTAATATACACATTCCCAATTTGATATAATTACTTATTTATGCTTAACATAATACAAAATATAAAATAAACATATATGCGGGATTATATAATTATCATGGTTTTTACCGTCAAATTTTTATATTTGCGTTTCTTTTTTCTTATACCTAACGATATTTTCCCCATATATTCATACAGTGAATTTCATTTGTATGTAATAATTTATCTATCTGATTTTCTCTTTTTATTTTTGTTACCTTTTCTTCTGTCATGCTGTGTTTGGTTACTTAAATTAATAGAATCGTTCAACAACTATGAATTATCAGATTATATAAAAAAATTTACCGAAAAAGAGAAAATATGGATGACAATCGACTGTATAGATACTATCAATCATCCGGATATGGCTGGAATGCAGTAGTATGTTAAAAATTTTAATGCTAAAAAATGATCTTTCTGAATAAAATAGGTTAAGTTTCATAATATAATTTTTCTTTAAACTATGTTAAACATGTAAATATATATTCTAAAAAAATTATAAATCATTAGCATTTTAATATAAAAGAAATTATTATAAAGATTTTTTTATTTTACATGTAATTATATTTTATACAGATTTTATTATTTTACATTTCAAGAAAATTTATAATTTTATAGATTGATACTGTAAAATTAAATTTACAGGTTTACAATTTTTTAATATCGGATAAATATTTAAGGACTTTATTTCATTTAGGACCATATTGTGGTGCTATAACAACAATCACATGTTTTCTCTTCGTTGTTATTGTTACATATGCAATATCGGTACGTATACTTAGTATAAATATAATTGATTTTATTTTATTTGGATCTTCTCATAATTTTTTCAATTCATTCGCTTTAATGGTACATTGTTTGAATTCTTGTACTATATATAATTTATTTAGTAAAATTAACTTAAAAAATTTTTTTATCAATATAAAATACAGTTGATTCATATAAAGAATAAGATTTATGGACTGAATAAGGACACAGATGCTATATATTAAACTGAAATTTTTATATAATTATTTATAATTCTAATACAACTTTGATTTAATAAAGTAAAATAATTTAAAGAGAACTAGATGTACCTTTCTCAAAGTCATACTACTTTGAGAAAAAAATAGATCATAGCATTTATATTTCACTAAGCAACCAAAGGTAATAAATACTCCAAATGTACAAGGCTGGTTTTTTCTGTCCACTTGATGATTGCAATAGAAAATACTCTTTCCAGATACTATAAATACTTACTATATATATGAGGAAAAAAGAATGAAAAAAAGAAACAGAAAAAGAGAAACAAAAATATTTTTTGTGTCGGCAACACGACGATGCTAACGCTAATATGGAAGCTAGCACGACTTCTCGAGAGTCGCAAAGCTCGAAGCTTGCTCTAATTAATCGCGTACTTAGCACATTACGCCCGAGCGCTGTAAGCTTTGTGACAATCCATTAAAGACGCAAAGAACGAGAGGTTTTTTGTGTATATATATGTCTTTGTAAAGCAGACAAGTTAAATAGTGTCAAACGGAACTAGGTTACACCTTCGAATAGAAGTCTTCTTTTAAGATATTATGTTATCTTCATGCTAGTATATGTACATTTGTTATAATTTTTTATTTTGATTTTTAATCAAATTTTTAGATGCAAATGTATTAAAAAAAAATCCTTATAAATAAGATTTATAAAATAGACCGAATAAAAATATTAGATAATAGGAACTCCATTCTGATAGGATTTTGTTGAGGTGATAAATAAAAGCATCAATTAAAATAAAAAAGTTTCAAAAGAACTATTCGGACTAGCACTAGCATTTCAGAAATGATTGAAGATTTAAAACATTAATGCAGTATGGAAAACTTATTACGATATGATTGAAATAGAATATGACAAAGATCAGAACATAAAAAATTATAACAAAATAACTTAATTTAGCAGTGATAAAGAACGTAGGTACTCTGGAAATATATATAAAAATAAATAATTGACATAATTTTTATAAAAAGTAAATTTCATAGAACTCTTCAATTTTGAGTATGGAGTATCATAACGCTTCTTGATATTAATAATATTTGAAAAAAATTCATTAAGTTATACAAAAAATATATAAAAATTATTTTTAAATATCATTTAAATTTAGAAATAAAAATAATAATAATTAATTATGAATTTTAATTTATTTAAAAGAAAAAAATCACATTCAAATATAAATTATAATATAGATAGCAGATTATAATATAGATAGATTATAAATATCGTCAATACCAAAATATAGATGAAAATGAAATCGAGATGAACGAATAAAAAAATTTAAGAATAAATGAAAATTGACTTAAATTTAATATCACTTTTAAAGGGGCGACATTAAGAAAAGCGATAGTCGACATTTTATGGCTAAATATATGTCAACAAGCTTGTATATAAATTTATACTATTATGCGAATTAGACACCAATAGTAAATAAAAAATAACTACTTAACCCCAAAATAACATATTAATGGATAATTTTCTATCAACGAAGAAAAAATACAATTTTTTCTGAAATCTTCAGAGAAATAAAATAAAAGATAAATTCGTACCAAGTCGAGGGATTATTTGACTTTAATTGCTTATTATTACAGATATTTTTTCATAATTTATTCAGAAATTTACGATAACTATTGGTAATTTGTCAATAAATATTCTTTTTTTTAATACAGAAATAAAGTTTACAATGTATTATCAAAATGATTCATTAGATAATAATGATTTAAGGTCTTTATAATCATAATAAATTTAATTTAGATTTAACATTATAATTATTTTGATAAACTGAATAGTGCACTTAGTTATAATATAAATAGGTAATTAAACTTTTAAATCAAATATTAAAATATATTATTATATATATAATTATAATTAAATATATATTGAAGTATATATAAATTTAAACATTTATAATACCTTATACATTTATCATGACACGTTATTGTTTTGTTGAAATTTTAATAACTAAATTTGATATGCTTATTATTAATTTGTATTATTAAATGTTATAATAGAATGTTCAATAATAAAAAACTATGTTTTCTATATAGATTATATAAATGATTTAATAAAAAGCTACTGATGTAATGATAATAAATATTAATAATATAAGAACAATAATAAAAAAATATCAGATTTTTGTAATTGCATTAATTTTATTATTAGATTTTTAAAACAATTATTAAAAATTTTTAATATTTATTTTAAATAATTAACTAGTTAAATACTAGTTATATATTCAATTTAATTTTTTAAAATGTTGAAGCAGCCAAGGATATTAAATAATAAGTAATATTTCTTTATGAACACAAAGAATCTATAAAACTTGGATTGTTCAGATCAAATTATTATCCAATTTCAACTGTTAAAAGAATGCTTTATATATTAAAATCAATATTTTTATAGTACAAATTTATTTAACACCCTTTATATGTTGATTCTTCTGTAATTATTTTTTATGTCTTTATCTTTATTTTTCCTCTATATCAGTTTATTAGACACTGCTCTTTGGTACGCATAATCCTTTACATTTTCTTGTTTATTTTTCTTATTTTTTCCCCTATTATGCTCATTATTATAATATTCAAACTTAAGAAAAAAAAATTTTGATCAATAAAAAATAATAAAGCATATTGCAAAATTAATATTTTCATTAAGGTTGATTTACTAAATATTAAGAAAATAATTTTGTTAAAAAAATAAATATATATCTTACATATAAAAAAAATTTACCTATGTATGAAAAGTAAATTAACATAAGTATTCGAAATATTATATAAAATAATTTTTGTCCCATTCGTAATTATGGAAATAATTGAAATATAAATATATATTTAATAACTAATTAAACGAATGCATTTTCAAAATTTGTAAATTTTCTAATTTTATTGAAAGTTAACATTCTACCTCATTATTATAGAGTTGGGCCATGTTTTTAATAAACACGAAGAAATTCAATGAATTACACTTTGCAGTAGAGGAGGTACTCATATAATCATATCTATTTTAATACAATTTAAAATTAAATGTACCTAAAATATTAGGAATAGTCTTAAATATTTTTAATATTGAAGCTGATTAATCTACCGAATTTTTACATATCGAAGTTTTAATCTACCGAACACTTATTTTTCTATTCTAGAAACTACCAAGAAAAGAAAATATTCTGCAAGTTAGACCAGCTTACAATTGCTTAAATAAACATGTAAGTATGTAACTGAAAGACTATTCTCTCTGTCATTGAATATTTTGTATACTATATAAATCGAAATATAAGAATAATTCATTGTTTTAGTATTTGAACCATGGGTATGAGAAACTTTAGTTAGTTTAATTCTATACATATATACGCGAGTGCGCGTATATTATATATAAGGTTATTATTATAAGATTATTATTTATTTGATCAACAATTAAGTACTTGCTTTTAAGAATAAAATCTATTGAAAATGAGAATATTCTAATTAGCTATAAATATATTAATTTAACCTGTTTTTCCAACATCTGGCTTTATAATCAATATGCTTGGAAACAATATTTAAGTAACCATGTATTATTCATTTACAGCTTCAGCAAATAGCCATCTTCCTGAACAAAACAAAGAAAGTCGTAAGTATAATTTGAATAATTTTTTTTAAACACTAGTTAAGCTGTTAATTATTTTTATGCTAAGTAGAATTATTTAAATTTTACTTATTTTTAGAATGCAATAAAACTATTTTATATCATGTTACAATATTCAAAATATGTACTATTTACTGAATAGTTAAATAATTAATAGATGTTCGTCTTTAATTTATTTTATTGACAATATTTTTTATAATAACTGAAATAATAAAAAATAAATATAATTAAGCATCAAAATATTTACAATTTAATAATAGAATTATATAACAAAATTGTAATATAAATAATTTCGTAATACTAAATTGTGTTAAAAATTTATATAATATTGATCTTATAATTGTTTAAATCTAAATCTAAATTACTCATATTAAAGTGTACGAAATCGATTGTCATTATTCAATTTATAGATTTATAAAGAGCAATTAGAAGTCGAAATTATGAATAGCCGAATAAATACCATGATAGATCTTCTAAATCCAGAGGTAAAAAAGTTACACTAATAACTTTTAATACAGGCAAAAATAAACTATGAAAACATTTGACAGTAATTTTTTTTTAATTTTAAATATATAATATTACATGAACAAGTAGTTCGCAAATAGACGAAATTAATTAATAAACAGAAAGCTATTGTATTAAATCGAAAAATTAATATCTTATTATATTTCACGTAATGTTTTAAATTCATGCTTGTTTAAAAAGATAAGAAAATTTTTAAAAATTGCATTCATTTTATATAATATATAATCAATTAATGCTCTATTTGATGAAATAAAGATATATTTTTTAATTTTTCTGTCTAAATAGATTTTATATTTAAAAAATGTGATTAAATAAAAAAAGTTTTTAACAGAAGGCACGTATCAATTATTACAAAAATATTTCGTTTTCGTTAATAAATTTGCGTTTATCGAGATATTTTCTTATTTCTTCTTTCACACTGCCTATTTAAAATATATTTTATGGAGCGACGGCAAGTTCATATTTTTAAATAATTTAAAGCTTGGTAACATCAATGATTGCTTTCACACAAAATGACGTTTATTTTAATTACGTCATAAATTAATAGTCGCATATACGTATTGCTCTACTTACTTTTTGAATTTTTGAATAATTTTAGATTCTATTTTATAAATAGTCTTATATTTATTTATCAAATTATGTTTTGTTTTGAAATTTAATAACAAATTAATTGCAACAATGAATCAATTTAACTTTTTATTCGTGATGTAATATTTTTATTAAAAATGTATTATATCTATTAAAATTGAACTATTTTTTTATAAAAATTAACTAATTTCTTTAATACATAGTTATAAAAAAATGAGTTTACTTATTAAAAAAAAATCAAAATTAGAGCAGTTTTTTAATTTATTGTAATATATAAATAGTAATATTAAATTCGATTGTATTTAATTATTGATATTCGAGTTTAAAATAAATATGATTATGTACCGCAATATATTTAACTCAATATTTAAACTGCATATTCTTTACATATTCTTAACGAAATGTGTTTATGTAATTCTACTTATATCGGCTCCTATATTGTGTTTTATAATACAAAATATAGAAAAAAGTATCTACGTTTACGAAGAAAATATTAAATTCGGATGCGGTATTTCTATGTCGAAGCGGAATTAATGAATATTATAACACTTGATTTCATCTAATGTATATGAATAGAACTATTATAAATAACCACGTATAAACTTACAAAATTATTCAATGATATAAATGAAACAACATATATATAACCAATAAACACAACAATACTGTATCAGCTATTATATTTTAAATATAATAAAAAACTTTTATTAAATAGATATGAAAATACATTATTATTTTATTTTTGTAGCACTAGTGCCATTTTTGTCAACTGAAATTTTTATAGGGATAAATCTTATCCTAATTAATAAATTATTAATTATTATATTATATTATATTATATTATATCTATTATATACAATATTATACAATATTATAATACATATACTATAGGGATAAATCTTATCCTAATTAATAAATTATTAATTATTATATTATATTATATTATATTATATCTATTATATACAATATTATACAATATTATAATACATATACTATAACAAAATATTATTTTATTTACTAAATTATATAATAAATGTTGGATTTTATATAGAAAAATATTAACGCAATTATATTTTATAAATTTAAATTTCTTTTTTATTTTATTGTATCATAATTTTAATTGATGTTTTCAGATTTTTTATAATATAACAAATAATAAATGCTTTTAGAAATCACAGTGGGATCATACGAGATCACCAAAAGGATACTTTCGAGACGTATACACACCTCCGAAGAAATAAACAATCATCAGTTTAAAAAATATATTAATATCTGTCAAATCCAGATTAAATTTTTTCTATATATCATAGAATAAAAATCATGAAAAATTAATCATAAATGGTTCGAAATAGTATTACTTCCATATGTTAAAAAATTAAAAATAAATATAATTATAAATTTAATGAACGATCTTTATTAATATTGTCCTACACCTACTAAAATTATAATTGTTAACAAATATTTCTGATTTTAATAAAATTTAGTAATAGTTAATATTTTCTTGTTTTATGTACATATACAAATATAAACGGTATACAGATAGATAGACCACTATCCGTCTGTGTTAAATTTTAATTAAAACAATACAATAATAAATTCTGTTACACATTATAATGAAAATTGTATTAATTAATTTGTCAACAAATGTTTTTTTAATTAATTTGGAATTTTTCCAAATAAAATAATTAATATAATTAATTAAATAGCCCCTTCATAGTATTTTTAATATATTTGTTTGAATATATATAATTATTGAATACAAATAGTTTTATTTACATGCATTTTATTATATTTTTTTATTGATGTTAGAAAAGCTGAAAATGAAATAAAAAAATTAAAATTAATTGAGATACAATATATTTCTTATTAAAAAAATCTGATCTATCTTCGGTACTGTAACATCTTCAAAAAATTTCATATAGATTCAAAAGTTATAGAACGAATCATCTTCTAACTTTCTTTAACATGGCATAAGCAACTAATAACACAAATTTTTATATCAACATCTCTGCTATATATTCACACTTCCGTCTGAATATCAAAATTCTTATTATGTCAATGTATTTAATATTTGCGAATTAAAAATACTTTTCTTCAATTTTTTTTTCTTTTCTTCTCTTAGAGAATTTTTCTTTTCTTTATCAAAGCATAATTTTTTCTATCTTTATTATGTTTTATTATTATTCTATCAGCAGAAAAACTGGAGGAAATAATCTGAAAAAACTACGTGCGCTCAAGTGATTAAAGACAAGATTATATGAATAGGAGATAATATGACGTCAAAAAAAAAATTTACTAAATTTTGAGTTTATGTCCCCTTTATGGATGGTTATTGTGTTTTATGTATTCAGTGGAGCACAAGTGCTTCTTCATATTTTTTAAAAATATTCTTAATTATTATTGTTGGGTATACAAAAAAATATTGATTAATAATACTTGGAATAATAGTACATTTAGATAATTAATACTTAAGACTATTCCATATAGTATGTAACATTAAAATACCAGTAATCTCATGAACAAGTTATATTTTTAAATTTACAAATGTCCAACTTACATGATTTAGTACAATAATTCATTTAATAAAAGAATATAATTATGTCTATATAAATAATGATTTATTCATTTTGATAAATTTTTAATTTATTAAAGATTTCTTAAAATACCATCGAATATTTTAGAATAGTTAACATAAAAAATATTATTACTTTTTATGTTTAAAAATAGTGTATAAATTATTATGAATTTTTTAACTAACATATTTTAGAATTGCATGTATTTGATAGTAATAATAAATAATTCATAAATTATTATTATATTACTATAATTGTATTATTACAAATAAAATTAGATAAACTACTTAGTACAGATATTATAAGAAAATATAGCTATTATAATTATTAACATTTAAAAACTGAGATTGTAAATATTGAATTATTTCATCTTCAAAAAATACGTCTTTTAAAAATCAAAAAAACCTTAAGTTTATGATTATGTATATTATTATAATTATTTTTTATGCTTTTATACAAAGGTAATTTAATGTAATTTAATTTATTGGATATATTGTATAAATAACTATATTAATATAATAATTTTATCGAGGCTTTATTTCTCAACCCATAAATCAATTTAATTGTATAACAATTCTGGTAGTCCTAATGAATTCGTCTTGGATGAAAACGTAGTACATCTTTTTATATTAAAGGCCACAATGAGAAAGCGGTAAATTGAATCAACGACATATTTTATAATACTAATGGAAAATTACATATCCTGTAATTATCTTTTGAATTACATAGTTAATGTTTAAGATATAAGGTTTATGAAATCATTCATTATTTAAAATTCAATATAAAATATCTCAGAACAAAAATTTCTGTATTTTATTATAATACATTTTAATTAAAAAAAAGAAAATTCATTACATTTAAGAATGAAGTAAATTGTAGGTTAACTGAATATTTTATCATATTAATTATTTTTTACTAAAATTTTTTTATTAAATATAATTCCCTATAAAAATAAGTCATTTCATAAATTTTTATTTCTTTTGAAACTTGTCTTTTATAATTTTAGGCTTTGATGAATTTTTCATTAATTTTCTTGTACTGTTTTCTTATATATACTATTGCAAGCATAAAAAATTCTATTTTGTATAAAATATCATTTTATTGTTGGACAATTTCTAAATAAAAAATTTTTTTCTTTTCTTTTTCTTTTTTTATTCTTTTATTTAAATTATCTATAATAATCTATATAAATTATCTATTACATAAAGTTATACCAACTGTAATATTATTAATAAATACTTTCAAGACTTTATCGTTTAAAATGTAATTTTCAGAATTTTAAAATATTTACGATATATATGTTTATTAACACGACAAAAATTATAAAAAGTCATATAGATCGAATATATAGACAATATTCTTTGTAAATTATTATTGACGCTAAATATACGCTATGTATAAGAGTGCCTGTTACTAATGGTAGATTTGTAAACAAATCAAATCCATCATACTATGATAATCGAAACTTTTACATAAATTGTAAAGTTATTTTTGCAATGAACTTAAAATACTTTAAAAAAATATTTTTAATATTTATATAACTTATACATTATTTTCTTTCAAATTAAAACTCTTTATCCCAAAATAAAATGTATTTCGTACTTATGAATTATAAGATATATTTATAGATATTTAAACTGAAGGTATATATTTTATGTACATAATTTATATTTAAATTATAAAAAACCTTTGTAATAATTATAATGTATTTCAAGAAATCACAGTTTTGTATCTTCTGCTACTTTAAAATTTTTTTTATAATAATAATGACTATTTAGTTATTAAGGTTAATTATACTGTTCAATGTAAGTAAATGACAACACAAATAAATTTACAATCAATCAATTTCTTTTCTACTTAATGTCCAGATTCTTCAGTCTTCCAATATCTATCTAATTTGTAGAAGTTTTTTATTTCCACTCTCTCTCTCTCTCTCTCTCTATCATTTTCCTCATCATCCACTCTTCCCTGTCCCACTTAATTTTTAACTTGATCAATCTATATATCGATTTATATACCCATCTATCTATCTATCTATATACTTTATTTCCATCACTATCTTACTAATAATGCACTTCTAATACTACAATATTTAAAAATTTATATTTTAGGAAATTAAAATAAATCCTTTTGATATTATGTATCTAGATTCTTTCTTAAAATAATAAGTATTTTTTCTATATCTTATATATATATAATTTATTTATTCTATACAATTTAGTATTAGATTATTTATAATGAAATAATGATCAAATAATTTATGCAACAGTATAAATTTTATTTATATTTTATATAAAACACTATTATTTACATACTTTTTATAATTTGTATAGTGATTTACATGTATAAATTATTATATTTAATTGTTTTCGGGTGTAATGGATTGCATATAAAAAATACGATTAAAGCAAAATAAAAATATAAAATTATATTGATGTATTGAAAAAACATACTAGGTTAAAATCTCATCTGAGTGTATTTATTAAAAAATTTTTTGTAAAATATTAAAACGATAAATTTAAAACCAGTAAGTAATTTTATCTTCAATTTTGGTGTGAAAATTTACAGAGTTTAAATATTTATAACAATTATGATAACAAAATCTACAATGATAAAATACTTGATTGGATATCAGTTTTATAAATATTATTATTAAAAAAGGAAAAACTGGTATTTTGTACATACTAAAAATAGAATAATCTACAAAACGTAATAACTTCATAACATATAACCATCTTCATGAAATATGGTTAATATTTCATTATATAATAAAATATCAAGTTTTATAACTAATATAATTTCATTTACTCCGTAATAATGTGCATATGTCGTGCAAATTTTCAAGTAAGTTTACTAAAATAAAATTAATGATTAAATCTTTGCTAATTTTAATCAATATAAATTACTCTCAAACAGATTGTTAATGAAAAATTTCACATATTTTCGTACATATTTTATTATTTAACACTTGAAACACAGATTTATGCTTCAGTTTAACTCATGTGAAAAAATAACGTGAAGATTACATATGTGTCTATTACAGACTGTAATTTAAGAATAAAACCAATTCTTACTATATAGATACTCGAGCATAATTTTTATTGCATCTATTATTAATTTTAAAAGATGATACTATTTCAATCTATACATAATTTTAAAATATTTCTGAACATAATGTTAATAAAATAATAATAATAAAAACTATTCATCCTTAAGTTATTAATACGCAATATAGTTAAGTTGATTAACTACAAAGAAAATTTTAATTTTCCATAATAAAAAATTACTTGTGCTCAGTTTCTATTTATTATCAAAAACGATGTTCTAATTATATTAAAAAATGTTTTACAATACTTATTATAATAAACTTATATTATATACCTAAATATTTAAATCATATAAATACATATTTATTATTTATCGGAAAGATAAAAGAAAATTATAAATACTATGAAAATTACATTAATTTCAAATAAAATATTTAAATTTATGCATGGTAAAAATAGGTTTAAAACAAATAATAAATATTATTCTTATACAAAGTATTTTCGAATAAAAAATATTTATATAAATAGAGAATATATGTGGGTATTTATATAAATGAGAAAAAATATCTTGTAAATTATAATATATCATAACGAAACATATGTCAGAAAATAAGAAATAGATTTTTATTATCTATCGGGATATAAAAAATGCATTAAACTTAAATCAATTAATCTAAGCGATCTTCATAATAAACATGACAACATTTTATTGTAAAAATCTTTAAACCTTCACAAAATAATATACTT